TAATTTGATATTTCAGTTATAATAGTTTCTTAATCTTTAGAATAAAAGAATTAGAATTACATATGAATATTAAAAGTAAATAAATTTTACTATCTTTCTATTATCTTAAAGATATTATATATGCATTATTCCTTGCAAGCAAATATTAACAGGATCTTTTTTTAAAGTTTACAGTAACATTCCAAGCTATTAGAATCCAATTGTCCGATAATATACAGTCTTTAACAATTACGTGAGCGATTGCTCACATTAATAATACATATCGCTTTAAATATGAAATTTTGTATTCTATTATTGCAATATCTATTATTACTTGGCAGCGTTACTCCAATTCTTCCTATCTAGAAATCCATACTCCAAAACGGGTATCACATTGCTCCAATTTTGATTGATATGCCTTAACTCATGTTTGTCGCTTTATAATGTTTGAGATAATAATATTTTTAATCATGTCCCATGACTTTACATTGCGTGACATGAAAATATAATTGTTTACAAAATTTTAATCTAAAAACAAAAATAATCGTCCGTATACTCTTGTGTAACGGATTATAAGTGAAAACTAGCCAGTTAAGTATATCGAGAAGAGATTTTATTTTAAGTGTTTAATGCAAATTTTATCAACCAAAAGGTTGTAGATTTAATGCAAAGGGAAATTGGAACAATATTGTACAAATTTTCCAACAAAATACAATGGGAGCAGATTAGCAGAAACTCAACAGGATCTGTTGCCTGTGGATTTTGCTCGAAACTGATTCAGTAAAACTAATTCCTGCAATCTCGATGTACTGTCATATTATATCTGCAAAGAACTGTCTCGATTTGAACTATGTGTTATAACATTCGCCTATGATGATACATACATCAGTGTATAGATCTTAATGAGTGTGTTCACAAAAATAATTTTAGCCATTTAGATCGCATGCGTCAGGAGTTATGGGGATTCCTTCCTTCCAGGAGGTTGACATTCAGGTACTAATCAACCTCCTGGTATCAAACATTTTTAACGGTAAGTTAGTACTCTTATGGCTTCGTTTAGTTGTCTCGAGTACCCTAGGAGCTATATCAATATTACAATGCGTGAATATAGCATCCAACAGCGTCTCATCACTATTGTAGGAATTAGGAATTCTATTATACGTGTTTGTTGGATGTATTTACGTCCTCGCTGCAGGTGTTCCGCGTGTACCGTTTTATTTATCAAGACGGGATGCCCTTGTTATTGCGAGCGACGGTCGAACACGTTGAACTCGTATCGTTGGAGTTTAACGTGTCGTGATCAAATTGGTCCACGTAAGCAGTGGCCAAGCTAATAAATCCGTATCTCGAGGACCGGAGACAGACGTTCGAATTCGGAGAAAAGAGAAAGACGTGCACCGGCTAGTCCCAACGCAACGTGCGAGTCGCGAATCAATTGTAACTTCTTAGGAATTAAATAGAACTGAGACATCCCATAATGTCCTTTGTCATGCGATTCAGGAACTAGCGACCCAACTGTTAGTGGTACTTGCACTGTCTAGGCATTGATATGTAATTCAAGCGTGAACATACGCTATTGGGACGCCAAAAGTCGGAACTGTTGCTCAGCATAACAAGCTTGTAGGTACAGTTTTCGCTTATTTGATACAATTTCCACTTGGATCTGCTTCCCATATGTTAATAGATCAACTAAGAATTTGCTTATGTTTAATGAGCAGTCGTAGAATTAAATCTATTTAACTTTTCTTCTTTTTAAATACACATATACGTTTGATATATACATATATGCACAAGCACTTAAATATTATACAGAATGTTGCTGTACCAACACGCTTTAATATTCGTAACTGATGACGTAGGGATACATCTGGCAGATTGAAGATTACGAACGTATAACGTAATAGTACACTTTTCGTTGGTAAAGCACAAAGTTTGATCGCATAAGGAAATGATCAAATGTGCAATGTTAGCGTGTAATATAATTACAAGTGACATTAACGAAATATATCTAAACAATCCAATTTGGTATGTTCAGTTAGTGCTTCAGTTGTACGAAAATTTTAGTTATCATAAAAATATATGTATGTAGGGTGTCTCTATATAAATATGAAATACTGAGTCTTACTAAAATTTGCGACTATTAATAAACAAGTGTGCTTTTTCATTTGTTCGTACTATTTCGTATGGTAACGCTCAGAATTTTCTGACGATTGAGCAATTCAAGTAATTCGAATTGTAAAAGCTCGAATATCTTAAATTGTTCAGATTATTCAGGTTCGAAGATATATTTGAACAGTTTGATTCGGAACTTAAGTAGAATAGTAATATTAAATTAGGCAATATATATAAAAACCAGGCGAAAATCGATTATTTTTATTTCTTTAAATTTTCCTTGATGCCTCACCTTTTGAATATTTGCCTAATGTAAGTCGCGGTTAAACAGTTTAGTTATTTCTGTTAAAGTGTCTGTTAAAGTGTAATTATTTGTATTTTCGATAACTCGGGTGTTTTCGATCCATTAAAGCAATTTGGCCACATGATTCGTTCAAGTATACATGTATAAACTTTAAGGAACAATAAAGTGATACATATATTCCACTGTATCGTAATAAATACGAATATTTTTACATGGCAATCAAGATTATTTTTGTATTTATGGTATATTTCATACATTTTTTGTTTCACAATTGTGACAGCGATTAAAAAGTAATTGAAACTTTTGCAGTTGTAATGTAAATTCTCATACTATATTAGCATATTCTAATATCATAGCAATTTGATTTATCAGTCACATATATTTTGATAAATAAATATATTACGAGATCATCATATTGTGTAAAGATGGCAGTATGCTTAATGAAATGAAAAAATGGAATTCCAATAATGATTATTGAACATTTAAAAGAGTGATAAATTAAAAGTTGTTCCGTTGTCTTTGTCATTATTATATTATATATTGCCTCTTGTTTTTTTAAAGTCAGTACATCAAAGCAAATACTTAATTTATCTTATATGAAAAAACATGTTAAATATAAAAAATTCAAGAAGCTGTGTCAAAGACGTAGACATAATATATCTAGACCGAGCATTGAGCAATGGGGGTGAAGGTTCACGTAGGAAATTCGCATGTGAACGAGAGAGGACGAAATAGTACAAAACAGAGTTTGTTCTTTTCTACGTGAACCTCTACCCTGCTCTACCCCCACTGCTTAAATAAAGGTAAACGCTCGGTCTAGATGTATTACGTCTATGGTCATAGATAAACGTTAGGCATTTACTTAGAAATAGAAGTCATGATATGTATTGCGCGCGCGCGTGTTGTGTGTGATTTTTATTGAAGTAAGATTGAGAAACTGATGTGTTAACGCAAGTTGAAGTCTACATTTTTTTTTAATGATCGATTCTCAGAGTTTATTGTGTCATTTACACCCGATTCAACATGACAATGTTATATTAATTTAAATTCTTCGTCGATTCCATTGAGAGGAGAATATTACTTATCAATTGTTAGTATGTCTACGTTCATCTACAAAAAGTTAATTTTTGAAACTTGCACGATTGCTACAACCTGACTTTAAATTCGATCTTAACACTTACATTAAGGAATGTGCACGAGAACAGCTTTTCGTATAAAAATATTTCTGTTTAATGGCTGGAGGTAAAACATGTGTTCCATTTTCCAATGATATGCCAATTTATATATATATATATATATTCATGATTTTATATACACATATATGTATATGAAATCATGAATAAAAACAAGAAGTACATAATGCATTAGAGCGAACTATCTGTTACATTTGGATTTTTTAATATATAATCTTTATCAATTATCCCCAATATAGTAAGAAATAAAATAAACAAATGTTAACTTGAATGATTCTACAGCGAGATGTGACAATTCCAGAGACATAAAACTTCAGCAACTTTAGTATTTGCAATATGTACTTTTAAACTATATATTTTAACATAATCTTTGAATATTTCTTCAACTATGCGTGAATACTGCGAGAATGGGTAAATAAAATTATAAAACGATATTTACAATTATATTCATGATATTTTATGTTATCAATCAAATTCGTTTAATACGTATGGATCATAAAAAAGTAAGAAGATATCTGGAGGCAGTGTAATTTCTTATTTCGAACGAAAGGCAAATAGCAACAAACCTAGATGACTAATGCCATTTCGTAATTATCCTCTCGAATAAGGTGCAACGTATTTCTGAGGCCTGCAGTAATGTATGTAAAATATAATGGAACATACCATTTCTGTAAAAATGCTTGTAAATAGCACTTCCTTTTGGCATAAAATCGACATTAGAGAAAAAAACTATAGCAAGAGATTTTGTGTTTTACTTATTCCTATAAAGCAATGAGAATTTAATTCCGTCCTCTTCTTTCCCTACATTTATCTAGTTAATCCCGCATGGATTATACGTCCTCCAGTTATTTCTTAACTTCATATATAAATCGTTTCACTCGTATGTTTTTGTGAGAAATTTACGTGTTTAGTATATAGTTATGATAAATATAGCCTTCTCATTTGATGTATTGTACGATGCGCTGAACCATATTTGGAGCTATAGCGATATTTAAAGCTCTCAGTTATATTGACACCTGTTACAGAAACAAATTATCTAACGATTCATTACTTTACGAGGTAGGTCATTCCGCTTCGCTGTCGGAATATTCTATTTTCGTAGGAGTGCGAGGTTTCTTCGAATATCTTAATCCTAACATGTCTGCAATTTCCTCAATATGCGACAATACCTGGGATACAAATAAAGTTGCGATTAAAATAGCAAGCTTTTCGGTTTACTGGCTGTTACTTACATAATCTAATTGCTCTTTTGTGTGTGCGGCAGAAAGACAAAATCTAATTCTGCCCTCCATCAATGGCGTTGCCGGGAATCCAACGCCAACAGTTGCGATATTACGGGTTGTCAGAGTACGGATCACAGCGCTGTATTGAACATTACAGAGAGAAGAAAAGAATAAAATTAATCGGTTTTTAAAAATAATATCTTAGCTCACTTACCCGATCTTAGAAAATAAGTAAACTAGCATAGGCACAACGGGCGAGTCCTCGTTTCCATAAATTATAACTCCGATCTGATTCAATCTGCGTCTAAAATATCTCGTATTCTTGGCTAATTGTTTGATACGTTTCTCACCGGCGTCGGTGCCATCTTCCCCTGCAATAATTCGCATTGACGTGATAATTTGTTGCGTAACAGGCGGGGACATCGATGCCGCGTACGTATGCGCGTGACCATATATCCTTATGTGATTTATCAATGTCTGAAACCAACGTCTGATTAATAGATAGATATTAAAATATACCGAGATTGTTGAAAGATCATTAAAATATTACTTTCTTTCCGGCTATATATCCACCAGCTGAGCCAAAGCTTTTCGTAAATGTTCCCATAAGTATATCTATCTCGCGCGGGTCAATGCCATAGTAATCGCAAACTCCTCTCCCATGTTTTCCCATGGCTCCTGCGCTGTGTGCCTCATCTACATAAAGATAAGCCTGTCCAACAATTAAGAATTTACATTATTTGGAACAAGAATTTGAGGAAAGAATGTAATGAAAAGTTGATATTATAGTTACTTACTTTGTATTTCTTTTTTAACTCTAATATCTCAGGTAAATGGACGATTGAACCTTCCATAGAGTAAACGCCCTCAACAACGATAACTATTTTCTTCCAAGGAATGCCAGTCTTCGGTTGCCCGGAAACAATAGCCTTCTTCAAACATTCCTCCAAATGTTTCACGTCTGTGGACCATAACCGTCTTGTACTTTCAACAGAAGATAATTATACGTTTATACTATTTGACTATTGCGTAATATGCGTACTATTATGCTTAAAGATCTGTGTTACTGCGCCGGATAGTCGTAGTCCAAGAATAAGCGACGCATGATTCTTCTCATCGCTAAGAACCAGACAACCTTTGCTGACCAAGGAAGGTATGTTTAAAGAGTTTGTAGCGAATCCCATTCCGAATACTACGGCATCCTCCACTCCCAAAAATTTTGCAGTCAACTTTTCTAGCTCATCGTGTATCGGCATGGTACCTTAGTATAATAAAAAAAAGATTCTTGATTGATGTTTTCAAATGTTCTACATTGAGAAAAGTGTTTGTGAACTAAAAAAAATTATTTTTTATACAATTAAATACGGCGGTTATGGGCCGTCGAGCAAATGTTTGCTAGTTCGCAAAACTATTCGTTTATTCAAAAAAAATATATGTTTCGATAAATGACATATGTTTAATTTATGTCCGTTTCTACCAATGCAGTTCAACTTTAATCTCGGTTCAACTTAGTTCATATCTTTTTCTAGTTTTATGAATTAGAAAAAGATAAGAAGTAATTTATATATACACAGAGATTAAAGTTAATCTTTTTTATCGGTAGAGACGGGCATTAAAGACATGTATATTTGAGGTAAAAAAAAACTGTACTGCCAACTAAACATATTTAGTCATATTAACAACTTTTCTTTCTCAGTGCATATTTATTTGCTCGAAACGCTTATTTAATAATACTTTCTTAAGTTATTTACCTAATTCAAGACGCGTGCTGCAACTGGCACAACCAAACTTCTTAAGCGTTTTGATGCTCTCGTCGGCGCACTTACCACTTGCTTCGGCAAACCCTAAATAATTGTAAGAGCCCAAATTTATACATTGCGTTTCAGTTCCAGTAAATCTGTCAGGATTAAAAAATTCGAGATTTCAATTCTATTGATATGTGACAAATCACGACTTTCGTACGTAGTCAAACTTACTGAAACGTCCATCCGTAATCGTGAGTTACCCGATTTTTTAATGTGACCGTTGCACCAGGAACAGAACAAATCGGCCTGTTCCAACAATCTCTGACTCGCCTGTAGACGTACTTGAGATAAAACTTTTCAAAATTATCATACAGTGGAGCATATCCCTAAAAACATATGTTTAATGTAAAAAATTTACATGTTACATGAAAAATAAAATATCGTTGTGCATAACAAAACTGAATATTGACATCGAAGTACGTGTGTCTAAAGTTTAACGTTTGCATTTTTAATCTGGTTTCCTTTATTTTTCATTTACAAGTATACTATAATTTGCATCAATGTTGAATAAGATATAAATGATTATCGCCGTACTTCTCTATTTTTTTCTTCGGCAATCTTCGAAACAAACAATAATTGATTGATAAATCCCAGGAACATGAGAATATAGAAGCCGAGGTGTGTAAGCGCCGCTGTAATGAACGGAACTTTTTCAAAAGATTCCCTCGACCGTGGTGGTTTTCGCAATTCCGCTTTTCTCGAACTAAGGGCACACTGCAATAAATTTCTACGCTAAATTGCATAATCTACGAAATTATCGGTAAAAATGGCTGTTATTTAAATTTCAAGATGTATATACAGGGTGGTCCATTTAACTCTGCCACTCAAACTCAAACTTTTTAAGGTTGTTCCAGGTTGTTCTAAACATTGTTCCAAAGTATTAGTTTGATTGGTCAACAACTTTAAAAGATATCGGGAAAAAATGATTTTCTACAAAAAACCGTTTTTGGCCATTAAAAAACGTGTTCAACAAATTTTAGTAATTAAAACTAATATTTAAATAAAATTTCATAAGAAACAATGTACCTATAAGCAATATATCCGTTCTGGAATCAGTAAGTACTTTGAATTAATGTAGACGAAAGCGAATTTGTAAATCAATCAAGATCAAAAGATAAGATTGTGCAATGAAAATGTATGTACACGCGTTGCAGCATTCTAAATATTTATTTTTATCATTAATAAACGTTTCATTAACGAAATAATACCGTATATACTTAATTAATATAATCAGTTATAATAGTAGCAATTTATTTAGTGGCGTACTTGAGAAGCACACTTGAACTGTAAAAGGTTAATTTGAAACGGAAATAATGACAATTTTGAAAATATATTAAATTAGGCAGGGTTCGGTAAGGTTCGGTAAGGTTAGATGTGTGTCAATCATTATTAGCATAAAAAAACTATCGGGACAATTTTCTATTTACTATACGTTGTCAAATATTAATATTAATCATGTTAAACCGTATTTACAACATAGAACACGTTTAAATCTCGAAGTAGATTTGATATAACTTCCATTTTTTCATTTATCAGCATTTAATATTTCTGAGAGCTTACTGTAGTCATGTTGGATTGTAATCAGAAGCAAGACATGATACGCTGAGTATACTTGCGTAGCATTTTTAAATAAAAAGATATTTGAAAGAAAAAAAGACTTAAAAATACTTTAGCACACTGACAAAATATTCTGAAAACTAACTTTTTCCCTTGACAGTTGACAATCGGAAAATGTAAATGTAATACGTGTCCTAGTCATGAGTGAGCTTGCGCATACGCGACGTCATATTATCTAGGGAAAATATTAGTTTTCGGAATATTTATAT